TGAAAAATATTATTTTGTGTTAATGGAGAAAGAATGAAAGAAAGAAAGAAATTATAGAAAGAAATAAAAGAAATATTCATAGATACGAACAGGCCGAGAAATAAAGTAAGATACAAACAAAATGAATATTCATAGATAGAGAGATAAATATGAACAAACCGAGAAAGAAAAAGAAAGAAAGAAAGAAAGAAAGAAAGAAAGAAAGAAAGGGAAATGCAGATGAGAGTAAAAAAAAAAGAAGTAAAAAATATTTCCAATTGAAAGTTGAATTGATTGAAATCATGTAACATCAGTTCGGAATTTCAAAATCTTCAGCTTGTCAAAAACCTTTTATTAAATTCCCATCATGCCGTCTGCGTCCAGCTAACACGTCAACCCCATGTAATAATTAAATAAAAACAGACTTGAGACCCAACATCAAAGCAATCAATCGAGATATATATATATATATATATATATATATAGAGAGAGAGAGAGAGAGAGAGAGAGAGAGTGAGTGAGTGAGAGAGTGAGTTTATTTTCACTAATAAAAAAGCATCTAGGTTCGATCCCTGGTGGTGGCACAATCTTTCTATACTATGACATCTAAATCAAGAGCACTTTTTATTATTTTCACGGTTGAAGAAATTAATACAAAAAAAACACAGATATCAATAAATAGATAGGATCACCGAAGTTAAGGAACGTGGAGAATTGTCAGTACTAACATGGGTGACCGTTTTGGAATACTAGGTACTGTATGTTGAGGTCATTTTTGTTTTGTTTTTTGCTGTAAAAAATACATCTGCTCTGTCATAATAAATACATGGAGCTCTCTGTGGATCAGTTTTAATAAGTAATATTACTAGGATCCACCAGGATTATATACCAACGGATCGATTACCTGTACTATATATAAGCTTAGATAGGATAAAAAAACATGTATCAATATGGTGATTTTCTTTCGTCTTTCAATCATAATGTTATTAAGCTTATCAGACGATTTGAAAAGAATTTGCTTAAAATAAATAGACAAAACTTGTCTATATTATTTAATGAAACATGCATTAATATATATATATATATATATATATAGATATATATATATATATATATATATATATATATATATATATATAAATTGTCGTTTCCTTAGTGTTATGGGAACTTACCCATAATAATAATGAACTATTCCTGACATTATAAATACTGCGCCTCTCAAGAGGTATGAGGATATTGTAAGACGAGGTGAGATAGTTGAGAGCATATTGTAAGGACATTGGAATAGTGATACTTGTCGAGACAACATAGTTCACTATAACCAAATCTGATAGTCACTACTAATACTTCTACTTCTTTGCATTATATTTCTGTTGTAATATATGTTTTATTCCATACCTGTGTTCGTGTTATTCTTTCATTGGTTCTAACCTTGGACCATCACCGTGGTACAAGGAACTTGGACCATAACACTTAGGTGAGCCGATCTTCTGGGTGCATAACATAAGAGCTTCTCTCGCAGTGTGCCAATATGAACAGGTTGTTTGGAAACCCAACCCTAAAGCAATTCTTAGAAATCTGACAATGAAAAAAACATAGCAATGCCAGTTAGAACTCTCCAATCTTAAGAGATTGTCTTGTTGCTGGTCATTGAAAAACTGGGAATTGAAGACGCTTGAATTCAAATAGTCTTTTAGAATTATGACGATCTGAGGAATTAACACATCTTTTTTTTATTTATTTCGTCACATTGAAGACATTTTTATACTAATTTTTTATCGAATACAAAACCCAAGAGCCACTAAATGTTGAGGGTTACTGTGTGATATATGAGCGTAATAAAAGGCAAGAACTGAAGTTCATTAGGTTATGTTGGAAAGATAATGGCTAACCTAAGACTTGAAACAGTTAAGATTTTAATGGTTGGGAATGAACCCTCTCTGGAGACGATTCCAAAAGCACCATTTCGTGGTAAGAAGCTGTTCGAGTGGAACTTAATTCTTACTAATGGAATACGTAGGTAATGAGACTGATTCATTCTTGTGTAAGTGCTATGGCCGGTCCCACTTGCAAAGGTCAGAGCTGGTAGAACCAAAGAATATACCTAGTCAGAATACGTGCCATGGAAATACGGATAGAGGAATGATAACCATAAAACGTTTCGTATGTGGAAAAAATGGATTGTAAAGTGGATATTCTATTATAAAAAAGGGATGGAAAGTGGAAAGGCTATTATAAAAAAGGGATTGGAAAGTGGAAATGCTATTATAAAAACAGGTAAGTGGGGGCGCGGCAGATCCAGCCCTGATATGGCATCAATGCTCCATTTCTGGTTTGATCTACTTTTAAAGATAGAATATAGCAGGGTAGGGGTAATCGAATACTTACCGTGGCGGTACAATGAACCGACCATTTTTCCAGAACCCTTAGCAATAGATCAGATATATGAGTTCCACTTGAGGTCTGTGGAGATCTTGAATCCAAATAGACGTTAAAGAGATTAAGAGTTTAATTTAAAGAAGATCCGTTTATCATGACAGATGGCATTTCAGTATTTTCTCCCTGGTGCTGGTGAGGGTGGAACGTTATATTTTGGATTTTGTCCGTAATGAATTTGGACAAAAATGTTTGGCAGATTAGCAAGTTCAATTGCGCATCTTTGGAGAGTCGGGGTTCCTGAGAAGTATGAAGCGTATCTAAACCGTTTAACTGAAACTTGAGAGCAGGAACACATTATAACGAAATAAAATCAATGTTCCATATCTGTTCTTATAGCAGTGTCACTATAGGAATCTGTAGCAATACCTTTGAATGTATTTCTTCTATCCATTATTTTTTGCAACAAATATACCTTACTCACAAGGTATCTTGTAGTTTCTTAAGTTTTCGGCCGATTTTTAAATTTAAACAACAAAATATATCATTTAAATTCTAGATATTTTAAGATTATATCTTATTTTTGTAGGTTCGTAAAACGTTTTAAAAACTTTTCTTTTTAGTTCTTTCGATTGACTATTTTAATCCACCATTGCGTTCTGCAAGTTTATTGACGGTCAAAATCTCTTATCATATGACATTTTTACTCCGTGCGAACCATTTTAACGCCAAAAATGTTATTGTGTGACTCTGAAATGTGTCATTAAGATCACACACTAATTCTTCTTCCAATGAATTCTTGAAAGTTCAGAGTTTGAATTGGGTCTTATCCACTAGACACTTTTCGAGGTCCAAAGTACTTCATTGCAAACTGACTATCAGACTCCATTTTGCTAGAAACTGCTTTCTTTCGCTATAAATGTCACGTTGCACTTTTTGATAATGTTTGGTGACCTCAAATGACCACCAGTGTCAACCTTACATAACCTATGCTATTTCGGTTATCCATACAAAATTCTGCGTCCATATGATATTTCCGTTTGGTCAGGCGGATCGGACATAAACAGACACACTTCAATGTATATATATATATATATATATATATATATATATATATATATATATATATTAGGAAGATGATTAATTAAGTGGAATTATTTTTGTGTGTCTCGCATTTTATCCTTTAGATCTTCATCTGAATAAATTACGCTAATGTGAGCGCAAAGGAGAGGTGACGCTGGAATTTTAATCTTTTAAATTATATTTTTAAATATGTGTTTGTCTATGTAACCAAGCCAATTTCATTGAGTATCTTTTGATCATTGTTAAATTTTTTATCATTTTTTGTTAACACTCCTACAATGCGATAATATTTATCGCATACACAAAGTCACATGTATACATAGGATACGCCGAAGTTTGCGTGTATGTATTCCTGTTTGTTTCTATGTGTACTTCTATCTATCTATCTATCTATCTATCTATCTATCTATCTATCTATCTATCAACATAAAAGGTTAATAGTCAGAGGTGAATCAGACCAGTAAACAGTAGTATTAAAAATTGCTCAATACACGTGTGAAAAAAATATAAATAAAAATAACATGTAAAGCGTTTAACTTTAAAAATCAGGTCAATTAAATACGCGATTTTGGTTTCGAATTGATGGACTATTCGGGCGATATTTTTACAAATGGCCGCCTTAACACTTTATTTTAAAAAAAAACACAAAGAACGCTATATAATTATTTTTCAAAAATAAATTTACAGGTGCATGACGATCAAAAACATGACATTGAGTGTAACAGAAAGGAAGGGGGTATGCAGAAGAAAGAAGAAGAAAAAGAAGGGTGCTGAAAAGAGAAGAAAGAGACGTGAATGCAAGTCTATTGTAAATGTATACAGTAAAGAAGAAAAGCAAATATGTAACTTTAATGTAAGGGAGGATAGGGAGGCGAGCGTATCTTAAGAATAAGTGGGATTTTAAATAGAATTTTTTACCAGGCCTCATATTTACTTAATAATTTTTTTTATATGACGGCAAGGACTAAAATTTCAAATTTTTGGTTTCGTCATACGCCCGTAAATATATTTTTGAAAAATAATCATGTAGTGTTCTTTGTGGGTTTTTTCTTTTTAAATAAAGCGTTAAGAGGATTATAAAAATATTGCCCGAAGAGACTTTCAGGGGGAAAGCATGGTCCTGATTTTTAAAGTTATGCATATAAACGTAAACGTTGTTTTTATTGCATATAAATATTTGAGAGGAAGCTCCGTTTATTTATAAAACAGTACCTTTATTTATACCGGCTAGAATGTTCTACAAATCTTATTATAGAAACATATGCACAATCAATCAGGATTCCGTTTTTTTTTGTTTTTTTTTTCAGGAAAAATTGACGTTCAATCCGACGCGCGTTATACCGTTTCGGCCATGGAATATGTCGGCGATCAAGCGAAATTAAATAGTGCCTTATAAACGAAAATCTTTTTTCAGACTCTCGAAGTATATATATATATATATATATATATATATATATATATATATATATATATATATATATATATATATGCAGGGTGTGATGCGTAAATTATCGCCATTTGATATTTTTAATTTCGCGCATGCTCGTTGTTTGTTTTAGATT